GGTGGATGCGACTAGGGCTGTAGACAGTCATCGCTGGTGGGTGTCTACCCTCCAGCCGACTGGGGCGACGATCCACTGGGCCTCCTCCATGACTTGTCCAGCGTCCGGACACTCCCGGAGGGCTTGCAGGACCTCCTCCTACTCTTCCCCGCTGAGGAATAATTGCAGGTCCGGTTCCTCGCTCGTCCCCCGATGCTCCAGCTGCAAACGCCGCAGGTGGCTCGCCGCTAACTGCGATGCTTGCGTCCGGCGACCACGGCACGGTGGAGATGGAGTCGCCGTTACGAGCTTCGCGTGACTGAAGGCTGAGGATTGGGCTGAAGCTGGGTGGTGTGGGGCTCCGGTCTGACAGGGCCGAGTCCCGGCTGGGGGGTGCGCCGTCGTTGGTATCCATGTCCGAGTCATGGTGGTCGACCGGTTGGTAGACCCCTGCGACGAAGTTTGGGTAGAAGGGCTCCATCCTGTTGCTGTAGTTCCGATCTGTAGATCGCTAGAAAATTAGCCTAGGCCTACGTTCCTTACTTGCCCTGCCTGAGTGCGAGGATCGACTTATCTAGTGGGTACAACTCTCAGCTTAACCTAGTTTTCTACTAAAAATATTACTACGATGCTTTGGGTACATTCGTCGATTCCCTTATGTTGGGCACGCGCTCTCTCCGGTGGCTTCTTCCGGGTCCCCTAGTTGGTCGCTGCGTTGGTGGTACTCCTTCAGGTCGCCTACTCCTGCTGTTCGCCTCTTCCTGTTTTCCATATGTTGTATCCTGACGATATTCGGGGAGAGGAACTTCAGCACCTTAAATGGCCCCGAGTACTTAGGAGCAAGCTTCGCGTTAAAGCCTTCGCTGGCCTTTGACAGGTGGTGAAGGCGGACCATAACCTGTGATCCGAGCTGGGGTCTCACTCGCGACGTCGCAAATTGTAGTGGCGGCCTTGTTCCTGGGAAGCCATCTGGTTGGTTTCCAGCGCAGTGCGGAAAGCTTCCTGATGTCGTTTAGCTCGCTCAGTGGGGTCCAACGGCGACGAGTGTAGACTAGGCGTGACCACATCAAAGAGGGCTCCTGGCAATCTGGGTTCCCTACCCTGCACCAGATAGGTGGGGCTGAAACCGGTGCTATCTGAGATGCTCGTGTTTATGGCCAGCGAGATCTCTGGCAGTAGCTGATCCCATGTCCTGTGATCCTGGTCCACGTACTGGGCTATCATTGTCTTGATGGTCCGGTTTGCCCGTTCGGTGGGGTTCTGCTGCGGGCAATAGGGAGCTGTGTATTCCAGTTTGATGCCGTTAGTGCGACAGAATGTCTTGAAACCGCGGCTGGTGAACTGCGTGCCGTTGTCGCAGATCAAAGTCCTGGGTGCTCCAAAGCGGGATATTATCCTTTCCCGAAATCCAAACTCCAGTTGGGCGACTGTGGCCTTCTTTAGGGGGATGATCTCGGCCCATTTGGAAAAGACATCTATAAATTCGAGCAGCATGGTATTCCCTCATCGGGTCCGAGGGAGAGGTCCAACGAAGTCGGCTCCGACGAGCGCGAATGGCTCCGTGGGATGGCGGGTGAGCATTTTGCCCGCCGGTTTGCGTTGACTCACCTTGTATTGTTGGCAAACCAAGCAGCTGGTGACGTACCGCACAACGTCTCGATGTAATCCCGGCCAGAAATATCGTTGGGCAATCCGTCTGCGAGTCTTCCGGATGCCCAGGTGATCAGCAGAAGGGTGGTCGTGGCATTCCTCCAGCACTCGTTGTCTCTGCTCCCGAGGCACGCAAAGCTTCCATGGGTTGCTGTTTCCCACGTCTGAGGTGTGTCCGATGTGTCGATACAGCTGTCCGTGATCCAGAGTGTAATCCGGAAACTTTTCGGCGCGCCTCTGGACTTCTTCTTGCATCCTCCGGATCCATTTGCACTGAGTTCCGTGTTCCGCGAGCAGCTGAAGCATCCCTAGGGGTTGCCAGGAGAGGGCGTCGGCGACAACGTTGTATTTGCCCTTCCGATAGAGGACGGTAAACTGGTATTGTTGCAGCTCCAGAGCCCACCGGGCTATGCGGTTCTGCGAGCAGCAGGTTGTCAATCGAGTTCAACCACTTGAGAGCGAGGTGATCCGTAATCACGTCAAACTGGTAGCCCTCCAAGTAGCAGCGTAGATTCCGCGTGGCCCAAACTATGGCGAGGCACTCCTTTTCGGTAGTGGAGTAGTTTTTTTTTTCGACTTACGTAGGCGATGACCTTTTCCTCTCCATCGATGCTCTGAGTGAGGACTGCTCCAAGTCCTGCATCACTTGCATCCGTCTGAAGCTGGAACTTGTATTCAAAATTTGGGCAGGCCAGTACCGGTGCGGCCGTTAGTCTGGCTTTGAGTGTGGCTCCTCCCAGCTCCACTTGACCCCCTTCCTGAGGAGTCGGGACAAGGGCTGAACGATGGAGGCGAAATCCTGGACGAAGCGTCGATACCAAGATGCGGTGCCCAAATGGCGACGGAGTTCCTTGACGTTGGTTGGCGGGCGTAGTCCCTGGATAGCAGCTATCTTATCTGGGTCCGTCCTGATGCCTTCTTCGCTGATCAAGTGGCCTAAGTATACCAGCTTTTTCTGGAAAAACTTGCACTTGCCTTGATTCAGCCGAAACCTTGCTTCCCGCAGTCGTCGGAAGACTTCCCTGAGATTCCTGGCATGTTCCTCCCACGTCGCCCCGATGACGATGATGTCATCCAAGTAGGCGAAGGCGTGGGGTTCCATATCCGGCCCGATGAAGCTGTCAAGGGCTTGCTGGAACGTTGCTGGGGCAGAATGCAGTCCAAAGGGCATGACTTTCCAGTGGAAGAGTCCACGCCCAGGGACGGTGAAAGCCGTGCATTCGCGGCTTCCTTCCGCCAGTATCCATTCTTAAGATCGAGCGTTGAGATGAACCGGGCGTTCCGTAGCCGCTTCAATATGTGGTTGATTCGTGGGAGTGGGTACGCATCGGGTATGGAATGTGCGTTGAGTTGTCGATAGTCGACGCAAATCCGCATATCCCCTGTCTTCTTCCGCACGAGCACCAGCGGGGCACTGTGCGGGCTACGGGAGGGCTCGATTCGGTCGTCTCGTAATAGCTCGTCCAACTGCTGATTGATTATGCTCTGCATGGCGGGGTTCTTTGGATAATACCGCTGCTTGTTTTGGCTTATTATCCCGGAGAGTGATGGTATGCTCGGCGATCTCCGTTGGCCCGCTTGGCTCGTCGAAAAGCTGTAGCTCCCCCTGCAGAAAGTGGGCGGTTTCCTCGGCGTGAGGTTCTTCGGTCACCTGTAGCCTGGTTGGGTCCTCCGCTACAGTGGCCAGGTGTCCGTGGGGACAGTGGCTCCGGAACGGGTTGTGCTTCCGTGCGCTGGCTGCGTCCGACTGGGCTGGCAGCTGATATACCCCAAATTTCCGTTGTGGTTCCCGAGGCCCAGGTGAGGTGGCTGGTTTGCGCGTGTGAGTTTCCACCGTTGTGGTGGCCAACATGGCGCTCGTGGAGGGGCGTCGAAACGGGTTCTTCTCCTTTGCCGTGGCGGCGTCCGCCTGCGGCTGTAGGCCGTACCTGTTCTCCGTGGTGATGCAGGTTCTTGCGGTGTCGCCTGACGGGTTCCTTGACAACGGGGGTCCCGAGGGGTCAGGACTTGTCTTCCGTACTGGCGCGTTTGGCTTTATGTGAGTCCTCGGAGCAGGCTTTGGAACTGTTTTGGTCCCCCCTTGGTGCCTCGCGATGATTGCGGCGTACCGGGTGTGCTTGGGGATTGCGCGGTTGCGGCCGTAGGAGTCGCCCGCGTATCTGGTGTTGGTTCTACCGCAGTACATCAGCGGTGGGTTTCGGCATTCTCGTGTGAAATGTCCAATTTCTCCGCAGCGGTGACAAGCTCGGCCGATGTCAACCGGTGGTTCCGGTTCCGTTGGATATCGCCGGCCTCCTGGGTCCAGAGGGCGTTGGAGCGGGAAAGTTCCCTGCCGGAATTCCAGCCTGCGGTTGGAATTAGGGCTGCATGTCGAACGGGGTCTCGATCCCGTGCGATTTCGAACCCAGTTGCCAGTTGGGTTAGCCCCTCTAGTGAGGAGAACTCATGTCGCCGTATGAAAAGCTGCTACACCGGCATCAAATTCTCGTAGATCCGCTCGAGCTCCTGGTCTAGTGAGTACTTGGCGCGTTGCATCATCAGACGTAATTCCACTACGTATATTTTGAAGAGCTCGCCCACTTGTTGTTGCCTGGTCCGGATGGCATCTTCTAGGCTCTGGTAGTACCGCGGAGGCAAGAAAAACTCCTGAAACTCTCTCCGGAAAGTTTCCCATGGCTCGGTGTGCATTTGGTATGCCCGGAAGCAGCCTTCGGCGCGGCCTGAGAGAAGTCCAATGACGGCCCTCGGTATGTCACTCGTTCTCACATTGTAGGCCGTGGCACCTTCCTCGATGCGTTCTATAAAATGAACGGGGTCTGACTGTCCGTCAAAAAGTACGCCCCATCCTCGCAGTTTCTCGGCGAACACGGCCGCGGGTATGGGGCTGTGCGGAAGATGGGCGGCTGGGTTGGCGGCCGGTATCTCCCGTCCAGGGCTTTTCCGTAGGTTCCCTAAGCAGGGCACGGAAAACGTGTGATCCTCGATTCCGGGCATCGGTGAGGTGGCCCGACTGGTGGACGTCCTCGGGGTGGGTGCTTCCGGGTATATTGCCTCCAGTGCGGCAAAGCGCTCTCGTAGAGCCGGGCTGCGGTCTCCTCCTCCGATGATGCCAATCGTGGTCGTAGTTCGTCTACTTGGCCGTTCGGGTCAAGTCCAAACTCTTTTAGTAGAGCGTGCAGCTCGTCCTTCCGGCGGTAGGCGATCCACCTGACCCCCCATGTTTGTGGTCGTGGAATCACCCCCGGATGCGGTGAAAAAACCTGTCCTCTGGCTTTGATTCTGCGTCCTCTGACGTTTTCTTTCCCGAGTCACTGGGCATACGCGCGGTGGCGCTGCCGATGGCTCTGCTGGGGATCACTCGGTGAGCGCTCCTAGTGGCGTGACTGGGCGCTGGGCGCTACCAGGGGCGCACGGCAGGTACTGCTGACGTGCGGCAGTGGCTGACCGATGTGGTTGCGGCTGGCGCTCCCGTTGCCCCGTGGACGGCGCTGCTGGCGGCGCGGTGGACGTTGCTGAGGGCGCGGTGGCCGCTCGTTGCGCGCTCCTGGTGGCGCTCGTAGCGTGGCTAGTGACCACGTATCCGGCGCGGTTGGCGCTGCTGAGGGCGCGGCTGGGCGCTGCTGTGGGCGCGGTGATTGGCGCTCGGTTGGCGCTGCTGAGGGCGCCTGTTGGGCACTAACGCCGCTCGATGGGCGCTGCTGATGGGCGCTGAACGCTACTGAGGGCGCGGAAGCCGCTCGGTGTGCGCTGCTGAGGTTGGCGCTCCTGATGGCGCTCGGCTGACACTGCTGTGGGTGCCGTTGGTACTGTTCATGGCACGGTTTTGCGCTCTGTGGGCGCGGCTGATTGGCGCTCCTGATGGCGCTCGGTGAGCGCGGCTGGTGAGCGGCGGCGCTGATCGTTGGGCGCTCCTGATAAACACGTGGGTGCCGCTGGTGGTGCACTGACGCCGCTCGCTGGGCGCTCGTTGGGCGCTGCTGCGCCGCTCTGTGGGCGCTGCTCGGGGCACGGTATGCGCTTGACGGCTTCGTGGTAGGCCACGTGGCTATGTGGCGCTCCGGGAGTGGGTTGGCGTTGGCGGGCGCAGCGTTACGAGATCCCCTACTCTAACTATTCCTGCGGTCTCCTATCTTTCTCTAAATCTCGTCTACTGGACATGGGTCTTTAGGCCATGCGGTTGGTGGTAAAAACCCAACTCTCCTGAAGGATATCTAGTCGTCCTTATTCGTCCCTGTTCGGGCGCCAAAGTGTAAAGACCTTTTTCATAGGCTGGGATAAAACTCAGTCCGGCCAGGGTCCTCTACAGTTAAATTTGTAGAAAAATATAGGAACGAAACTGGACGGGGAGTTGCCGCGGGGATTTGCGGGGAAAAGAGGCCAGAGTATCCGCGTTACACCGAGTAAGCGGCTCTAGCGCAACACGACACCCGAAAGGTATAGTGGAGGGCGGGGCTGCTCCCGGCGAAAATTCTAGCGAAACGAGCAGCGTGGCCGATCCCTGAGAGAATACCAACAAAACCGAACGGCGGGGCCGATCCCGGATAAAAAAATACCAACAAAGCTGAACGGCGTGGCCGTTCCCCCTGGATGTGCGACTCACAAGCTACTGGGGTAGGGGGTAGGGATCCGAGGGGAGGATGGCCGGAGGCGACCCTTCCCTGTGCTCCCTGTGGTCGATCGAGTGGTCGTTTGCACTGAGTTATCGTCTCTGGCGCAACACGATTCCCGACCGGCACAGATCACTGCACGTGACTCGCGACTACCTAAACCGTATTTGGGGCGGGGTTCCCAGGAGAGGGTGGCCAGAGGCGATCCTTTCCTATGCTCCTTGTGGGCGATCGGGTGGACGTTTGCACCGAGCAAGCTTCTCTAATGCAACACGATTCCCAACCGGCACAAATCACTGCACGTGGGTTCCCGAAAAATGCACAAATTCACGCGGACACATACTTCTTCATTCTCTTTTGTCTTTATTATTCGCTAGTTTCACAAGTTATTTTCCTAGTCCCCTACTCGCACTCAGTCTGATCTCTATTGTCTGTGTCCTTGGATCCGGCGTGCCGACGCTCGTGCCGCTGTGCCACTCCGGGTTGAAGTCCGCTCCTTGGTCTGGTCGCCTTTTCTGCCATTCGGGAATGAGGTCGAGCTTCCGCCCTTGCGGCCGCATGTAAGCTCGGTTTGCCGGGTTTTTCCGTTTCCCAACACAGTTTCTTATCGATCCCCCGCCTATCGCTATCGGCACTATCAGCTGTTGGCCCTCGGTTGACCAACACTGGGTGGTTTTCCAGCCCTGGTGCGCGCGATATTTAAATCTGATAAGCTTAGCTTCTAGTTTGAACTTAAATAAATTGCCTTCGCGGCGTAACGACTTATGGCTAACTTATGCTTATAACTTTTAATAAATGGCCGTCGTGCCGTAATATCCAATTGTATGCCTTCGTGGCGGAAAGAATAAAAGTGGCGAAATGTGGAGGGTGTGTTTCACGCATCCTCGCAAATTTTACGATCGTTCCTATGGCAGCTATATGATATAGTCGTCGGATTTTAATACAATTAAATTTGAAATTCAGAACTAATTAAAAAATGTTGTTTCCAAACGTAGGAGGTTATATGTTAAGGAACACCGAAGCTATAATTTGTTTCATATTATTTTCCCACCAATTTTCCGATCGTCCCTATGGCAGCTATATGATAAAGTAGTCCGATTTTGATAAAATTAAATTCAAAAAAAATTCAGAACTAATTAAAAATTTTATTTCCAATTTTACGATCGTTCCTTTGGCAGCTATATGATATAGTAGTCCGATTTTGATAAAATTAAATTCGAAATTCAGAATGAATTAAAAAATGTTATTTACAAGCGGAGGTTATATGTTAAAAAAAGCACCGAAGTTATAATTTGTTTCATATTATTTTCCCACCGATTTTACGATCGTTCCTATGGCAGCTATATGATATAGTCGTCCGATTTTGATAAAATTTAATTCGAAATTCAGAACTAATTAAAAAATGTTATTTCCAAGCGTAGGAGGTTATATGTTAAGGAACACCGAAGTTATAGTTGGTTTCATATTATTTTCCCACCAATTTTACGATCGTTCCTATGGCAGCTATATGAAATAGTCGTCCGATTTTGAAAAAATTAAATTTGAAATTCAGAACTTGTTGCAATTGGAGTCGAGTGGGAGCGACGTTATCAATAGTTTAGGTCGATAGGGCGATAGCTGCAGCAGCGGGATGAGTCTGGCGGGCGATCTGGCCATTTGAAGATTAATCCCGGTTCGCTCTGGGATTACTTCAAATGGCCCATGTATCCAATGACCCAATGCTGAGAGAGGCCATGTAATATGGCGGGGGCGATGATCAGCAGATGTCGTGATAGTCGCGGCCATACTGTCCTACAATCAAGGCAGATTCAGCTAGGAGTGAGAAAATAAGTTGTCTTTGTGCTTAAAATTGACAAGCAGCCGGGGTCCCAATACAAAGGGCCCCGGAAAATTTATTTGGACTCTACTGACATCGCCATACTTCGACATACCTACCAGCCCGACTTGGCTGACCAGCAACCGGTGTCCGTTCGACCCGTGCCAGCGACCAACCAGGAAAGCCTTCTACGATCGACGCCGACGACGTCAACACTTCCCGGTGAGTCCGTTCCGGCGTACCGCGTCCTCTTCCTCCTCTCGGGAACTTCCAGCGGTCGCATTGCGGCGCTGAGAAGTATCGCCATTTTGTCTGGCAGCCGAATCTCGGACTGCCCGTACACCACTCACCGGAGAGCGCCGTTTTCCCGTATCGCTGCTGGCCTCCGACGGGAAGTCATCAGCCCGGGCAATCATCGCCTCCAGGCCGGCCCGACAGTGGCTGAAAATTAAGAGAAATTAAATACACGTGTACCTCGATTATATATAGTGATATCTACTTACCTGTTTGTGAGTTTATCCGGAGTTAGACCCGAGAGCCTTATTTGTCCTCGTTGTTTGCCTAAAATTAAAAAGGTCGCGAGCATTAGTTAAATGGTATAGTTTACAGTGCAGTTACGTACCTTTTTGGCCTGTCCCTTCTTTTCCCTTGGAGCTCCTCAGGATTAGGTGACCATACGCACGCGCATCGCGCATGTTCCCTTGAGGCCCGCGTTTCCATGCGAGCTCTACCAATACATGGCTGGTAGAGCATAATTCCCGCGGCGCCTGTACCCTTTCCCAGCAAAACCAATCCTCTGCTTTGACCGCGTAAATATCCGAGACGGCGGCCAGGTTTCGGTCTTAGAGGCTGAGGAAGGATAAATCTATTAAGAGGAGAATGTATATGAACGATTGTACTTACCATATTTATTAAAACCTTTGTAGTACACACGATGTGTGAGTAATCTTTCCCAGTGGGGGAGATGGAACCGCCGTAGTCGCGCGGAGGGGGCTCCTGCCGACAGAGAATGGGTGGTGCCCTGCAGCATCTCGAGGGCACCCATGGTTGGGTGGGAGCGCTTGGCTAGGTCACCGATAGCCACCAAATGTAATCAATTTTCCCGACAATAATTGTAAATTTTGCTTTGTTTACGTTTTTGCCCTTAGTGATGACCGATAGATTAGTAAAGTGAGACCGCGAAGTTATCGATACTTATGTTGCGAGCTGTGGCATTAGGGGTACTCTGCCCTGAAGACGACTGAGCTAGCGGCACTGCCACCGACAAAAAGCAGTTCGTTACATATTGGCGCCCAATTTAAACAAAATAAATTGTCGAGGCGACGACGTCTCGCCCATTTATGACCCTGACGCCCCCGCCATCACGACCTATGGCTTGTAACATGGATTGCAATTGCTAGGGAGTGGTGACGGGGAAGTCAGCTGAGTAGGGAAGTTGGAATTAGAACGGGAGGCACGTCGACATTGCCGATGATTCGCTCCTGGTCACAGGCTTACCAGTGAACCGGTGATGGCATCTTGGGGCAAACCAAGATTTGCATCACGGGATGCACTGACGAGAATCTGTGATTATTTCTGTGATAGAGTAGTTTTAAGGCTTGTATTTTGTTATTTATTTATTTGAAATGTTTTTTGTTAGGATGTGGTGTTCCTGGGTTTTTCTCCCCGTCCTGGACTTCTAATTTTATGTCGGTTGTGAACTTAATGGCGTAATCGTGACCCGTAGCAACCCTACGCGCTGCACGGTTGCCTCGATTTAAAATAGAAAAAAAGGGCGGGAAAGAAAAGCCAACAGGAGCCAAACCAGCCGATGTCCTTAACTGGCGGCTATCACCACGGGTGATAGCTAGTCCAGTTGACGAACGGCTAGGCGGAGACGGGAAAATAGGATTTTTGGAAAAAGCGCAAGACAGTTAGGTCGGAAGCCCACCGGCGAGGGTCAGTTCCATCTCCCCAAATCAAGAGTAGAGGAGGAAAAATATAATACAAGAAAATAGGAGATTTGGAAAGGAGTTGGAAAGTGAGGAAGATTTGTTTATTGTTATTTATTTTTGCTATTAGTTCTTTTCGTATCTATTTTCTTATTTATTATATTATTTATTATTGTATTTATTTGTTGTCTTATTTATTTATTTATTTATCATATTTATTATCGTATTAGTAGTTCTTAAGTATTTATTTCAAAATTCTTGGGAAACATGTCCGAGGGTAAGGACGTCAGGGATAAGCACGGTCACCAGCTCAGGTCGATGGGTCCTCCTGGCGACGACAAGGACGATGTCTGGTCCACGGACGTAGAGGGTGCCGCTGGGTTGCCGCGGATATCGCTGGCTGGGGGTTTACCCAGAACGCCGGTAGGCGGTAGTGCGGAGGATCGGGTTAGGGATCAACCGGCGGACCTGCTGCACCATCGGTCGCCCAGGGTCCTGGATCGTCGAGGCGCAGGATCAACTTCTGGGTCCGGAGCAGAAGAGTCCCCAAAAGCTAAGCCTGGGACAGGATACAGCGGCGGAGTCGGCGATGAACGCAGCTCTGGCACAGGCTGCCCAAACCTATCGCGCGTCACAGGAGGTAGGAGTGAGCCAGGCGTTGCGGGACGAAATCAGGAACGGATTCATCGACATGATGAAGTTGTTGAACGACGTCCTGAGGCCAGCCGAGAGCAAACCGCAGCCGCTCCAGGAGGGCGCGAGTCGCCAAGGGTCAATGGTGCCCACTCCGTCGTGTCCGGAAGGCGGCGCAAATGGTCCAGCTGAAGTTCAGCAGCGGCAGGAGTCAGGAGGAGGCTACCGAAGACCACCGGAATTACCACCCAGGCAGCGACCTCGACTGCCGGTAAATGACTCTCCAGGGATCGACAGCAGCCTGAGCCAGGAACCCGAGTACCATCCGACAGGCAGGAGTGATCGCCATGCACGGCCGTGGCGCGAGGACCGAAGGACGGTGGATTTTCGGGACGAGCCGCGGTGGTACGCAAACGCTGGAGCCGGCAACGGGAACCACTACATCAGAGTGGACCGCTGGAACCTCTCTTTCAGCGGCGAGGACGATGGCCATTCCGTGGACGACTTCGTGTTCCGTCTGGAGTTCCTGCAGCGGCAGCATCAGTGTCCGTGGAGTGAAGTTCTGCGCAACTTCCACGTACTCCTATCGGGCAGAGCGAAGGAGTGGTACTGGGTACACGTACGCCAGTCCAGAGTGGACACATGGGCCCAGCTGCGCAGGGCTCTGATGGATCGGTTCCGTGGCCACCAGACGGAACACGAAAGGATGCACGAGCTCCTACAACGTGAGCAACAGCCGGGAGAGAGTGCGGATGACTACATCCACTCGATGCAGCAACTCGCCTCACGCCTGAAAAAACCAATGCCAGAGCGGCAGTTGGTTAAGGTGGTGAAAAAGGGCTTGAGGGATGGCATCGCTAGATATGTTTACGCGATGGACGTACTCACGGTGGACGAACTTCGGGAAGAGTGCGTCGAAGTGGAGAGGAGTTTCGGTCGTCGAGGGCGTGCTGCTTACCTGCAGCAGAACAAGATACGGGTCAGCGAGGCACACGTACAGGATGAAGTCGACGAGCAGCGACACCTGGAGGTGGACGAGCTACGTGGGCGAGTCCGAAATCCATTTAGGCCAGGTTGCTGGAATTGCGGGGCTGCGGAGCACGGATTCCAAGATTGCGAAGCCACGGAGTGGAGGAGATTTTGTTTCCGGTGCGGCAAGCCGGGCGTCATTTTTCCGAAATGTCCCGATTGCGCGGAAAACGGTCGGCTGGGCAGTCCGAAAGCGGGAGGGACTCGCCCAGGTTGGAATCCCGCGAAGTAGTTCCGAAGAAAGAAGAAGAAGAAAAGAAAGTACATAGTCCATCTAATAGTAATAAGTATTTATTAAGATACCTACCGGAGGATGAGAGGCTTCGCCGTTATATGGAGGCACGGAACCGGATCTTTGCGGAGCATCAGCTGAGCGGCATGCGTCTGGTCTCACGGAGAGTCCAGAAGGCAAGGGAGCGCTTCAGGATGAGGAGGTCCAGACGGCGAGAGGTGGTGGCGGCCGTTAAGCGCATTGATTCCGCTGATCCTCGACCCTTCGCCGACGTGGAGACTTTGGGCAAGCAGCTCACCGGCTTGTTGGATACAGGCGCTAGCGTAAGTGTGCTGGGCAAAGGCTGTCGAGAGCTCGTGGAAGCGCTGGGAGTTACCGTCCAACCGTATTTTTCGGTAGTCCGTACGGCTTCTGGCGAAGATCGATCCATCATCGGACGCTTGGAGCTGCCTGTGAGGTACAAAGGCGTAAGTAAGCCGGTCACGTTCTACCTGTGCCCATACCTGGAACAAACGGCGTACTTCGGAGTCGACTTCTGGCGAGCCTTCGGACTAGCTCCAGCCGTCGTGGGGAAGCCGGCGACGAGAGGCGTCAAGGCAGCGGAGGAAATCCATGCCAGCCAGATGGAGCACTATGCCGACCAGGAAGATGAGGACGAGGTAAGGGAGGAACCCGAATCCTGGAGCCTTTCTGCGGAGGAAAAGCTGGCGTTAGGCAAAGTCAAGGAGGAGTTCCTTACCTTTGAGAGGGACGGCCTCGGGGTCACCAGCATGGAGAGGCATTCCATCGAGCTGACGGAAGGAGCTCGGGTCTTTAAGGATCGTCCGTATCCGATGTCTCCGGCGAAGCAGAAGGTGGTCGAAGACGAAATCGACAAGATGTTGGAGCTGGGTGTCATCGAGGAGAGCAAAAGCCCGTGGAGCAATCGCACAACAGTGGTGTCGAAGCCAGGGAAAGACCGGTTCTGCCTGGATGCCCGGAAGTTGAACGCCTTGACTATCAAAGATGCATACCCTCTGCCCAGTATAGAAGGAATCCTCTCCAGAATAGACCAGACGCATTACATCTCCAGCGTTGACCTGAAGTTTGCGTTTTGGCAGATCGAACTGGATGAGAAGAGCAAGGCGTACACTGCGTTCACGGTTCCAGGCAGGCCGTTGTACCAATTCCGAATGATGCCGTTCGGACTGTGCAATGCGGCCCAACGCTTGGTGCGACTCATGGATCGGGTGATACCAGCGGAGCTCAGATCCAACGTCTTCGTCTACTTGGACGACCTGCTAATCCTGGCTCCAGACTTTCAGACGCACCTGAAATACTTGCGTCGGGTAGCCCACAGTCTGAAATCAGCCGGATTGACCATAGGGTTAAAGAAGTCGAAGTTTTGCTTCAAATCTTTGACTTACCTAGGGTTTATAGTCGGAGGTGGACTGCTGCGGATGGATCCTGGACGTGTTACGGCAATCCAGAAGATGCCTTACCCGAAATCCATGAAGGAAGTACGTGCCTTCCTCGGCACAGCGGGATGGTATCGACGGTTCGTCAAGAACTTCGCTACGCTAGCCGCACCACTCTCCGAGTCTTTGAAGAAGGCTGGAAACACGAAGTTTTCCCTAAGTCCCAGCGCCACCCAGGCAGTGGATGACCTGAAGTTGGCCTTGACGAGCGCGCCGGTCCTGGTTCATGCGGATTTCAAGAAGCATTTCTTCATCCAGTGCGACGCATCCCACGTTGGCGTCGGCGCGGTATTGTTTCAGCGGAACCAGGACGGAGACGAGCAGCCCATCGCGTTCTTCTCGGCCAAGATGAACAAGCACCAGGTGAATTACTCGGTCACGGAGAAGGAGTGTCTGGCGGCCATCCTAGCCATTCGGAAGTTCAGACCGTATGTGGAAGGGATGCCGTTCACTTGCATTACTGATCACGCCAGCCTAAAGTGGTTGATGACGATGAAGGATCTGTCCGGACGACTCGCAAGATGGTCTCTCCAGCTGCAGGGCTACGATTTCAGCATTGAACATCGCAAAGGCAGCGAGAACGTAGTCGCCGACACTCTATCCCGCATCATCGAGGAAGTACGGATAGATCCAACGGAGTTACTGGGATTCGAGACGACCGAATTTGCTGCGGAGGACTATAAGGAATTAGTGCAAGACGTGGAGTCCAACAGGGAGCACTTCCCGGACCTCAAGGTGGACGACGGACTCATCTTCAAGCGCATGAGTAATCCCAAAATGGACGAGGAATTGGAAGGATCCGAATGGAAGCTGTGGATTCCGCAAAGCCTGACGCACAGCTTGCTAGAGCGTGCTCATTCGGACCCCAAGGCTGGCCATGGTGGGATGACGAAGACCTTAGAGATCCTGCGACGCCAGTTCTATTGGCCAGGGATGACCATCCAGGTACGGGAATACGTCCGGAGTTGCGAGGTGTGCAAGG